CGCGCGGCCGCCAGGCGCCCTTGGACGGGACTTGGGGGGGGGGGGGGCAAGCACATTTGCCAAAAATGAGAGACCATCGCCAGCGAGCCAGGGTGGTCGCGGCCGGCAGGCGTCGTGGGCGGGCTCTGGAAAGGCAAAGCACAATCGCAAAAAATCAAAAGCCAGCGCCAGCGAGCCAGGGGGCGCGCGCGGCCGCAAGGCGTTTTTGCGCGGGCCCTCGAAGGGTGAACCACGCTCGCAAATAACCAGAAACCAGCGCCAACGAGCCAGGGGTGGCGCGGCCGCCAGGCGTCCTTGGGCGGGCCCTGGAAAGGCGAAGCACAATCGCAAATATTCCGAAACCAGCGCCAACGAGCCAGGGGGTGCGCGCGGCCGCCAGGCGTCCTTGGACGGGGCCTGGAGGGGCGAGCACAATCGAAAATAATCAGAAACCAGCGCCAGCGAGCCAGTGGGGTCGCGGCCGCCAGGCGTTTTTGGGCGGGCACTGGAAGGCGAAGCACAATCGCAAATAATCGGGAACCAGCGCCAGCGAGCCAGGGGGCGCGCGCGGCCGCCAGGCGTTCTTGGACGGGGCCTGGGGGGGGGGGCAAGCACAATCGCACGTAGCCAGAAACCAGCGCCAACGAGCGGGGGGGGTCGCGGCAGTCAGGCGTCTTTGGGCGGGCCCTGGAAAAGGCGAAACACAATCGCAAATAACCGGGGACCAGCGCCAGCGAGCCAGGGGGGGTGCACGCGGCCGACAGGCGTCCTTGGACGGAGCCTCGGGGGAGGCAAACACAATCGCGAATAAACAGAAACCAGCGCCAGCGAGCCAAGGGGCTCGCGGCCGCCAGGCTTTCCCGCGCGGGCTCAGAATCGCAAATGATCAGAAACCAGCGCCAGCGAGCCAGGGGGGGCGCGCGGCCGCCAGGCGTCCTTGGACGGGACCTGGGAGGGCAAGCACAATCGCAAATAATCAAAGACCAGCGCCAGCGAGCCAGGGTGGTCGCGGCCGCCAGGCGTCCTTGGGCGGGCCCTGGAAAAGGCAAAGCACACTCGTAAATAATCGAAAACCAGCGCCAGCGAGCCAGGCGGCGCGCGCGGCCGTTAGGCGTCTTCGGGCGGGCCCTGGAAAGGCGAAACACATTCGAAGATAATCAGAAGCCAGCGCCGACGAGCCAGGGGTTGCGCGGCCGCCAGGCGTCTTTAGGCGGGCTCTCGACAGGCGAAGCACAATCGCGAACATTCCGAAATCAGCGCCAACGAGCCAGGGGGGCGCGCTGCCGCCAGGCGTCCTTGAACGGGGCCTGGGGGGGCAAGCGCAATCGCACATAACCAGAAACTAGCGCTGGCGAGCCAGTGGGGTCGCGGCCGCCAGGCGTCTCTGGGCGGGCCCTGGAAAGGCGAAGCACAATCGCAAATAATCGGGGACCAGCGCCAGCGAGCCAAGGGGCGCGCGCGGCCGCCAGGCGTCCTTGGACGGGGCCTGGGGGTAGCAAGCACAATCGCAAATGATCGGGAACCAGCGCCAACGAGCGAGGGGGCGCGCGGCCGTCAGGCGTCTTTGGGCGGGCCCTGGATAGGCGAAACACAATCGCAAATACTCGGGAACCAGCGCCAGCGAGCCAGGGGGGAGCACGCGGCCGACAGGCGTCATCGGACGGGGCCTGGGGGGAGGCAAACACAATCGCAATTAATCAGAAACCAGCGCCAGCGAGCCAGCGGGGTCGCGGCCGCCAGGCTTCCTTGCGCGGGCTCAGAATCGCAAATGATCCGAAACCAGCGCCGACGAGCCAGGGGGGGCGCGCGGCCGCCAGGCGTCCTTGGACGGGGCTTGGGGGAGCAAGCACAATCGAAAAAACAAAAAAAACAAAAAAAAAAAAAAAAAAAAAAAACGCCAGCGAGCCGGGGTGGTCGCGGCCGCCAGGCGTCCTTGGGCGGGCCCTGGAAAGGCAAAACGCAATCGCAAATATTCAGAAACCAACGCCAGCGAGCCAGGCGGTGCGCGCGGCCGCCAGGCGTCTTTGGGCGGGCCCTGGACAGGCGAAACACAATCGCAAATAATCAGAAACCAGCGTAGCGAGCCGGGGGTTGCCCGGCCGCCAGGCGTCTCTGGGCGAGCACTGGAAAAGCGAAACACAATTGCAAATATTCCGAAACCAGCGCCAGCGAGCGAGGGGGGTCGCGGCCGTCAGGCGTCTTTTGGGCGGGCCCTGGAAAGGCGAAACACAATCGCAAATATTCTGGAACCAGCGCCAGCGAGCCAGGGTGGGGCGCGCGGCCGACAGGCGTCCTTGGACGGGGCCTGGGGGAGGCAAACACAATCGCGAATAAACAGAAACCAGCGCCAGCGAGCCAGGGGGGTCGCGGCCGCCAGGCTTCCTTGCGCGGGCTCACAATCGCAAATGATCAGGAACCAGCGCCAACGAGCCAGGGGGGGCGCGCGGCCGCCAGGCGTCCTTGGACGGGACCTGGGGGTGCAAGCACAGTCGCAAATAATCAGAAACAAGCTCCAGCGAGCCAGGGTGGTCGCGGCCGCCAGGCGTCCATGGGTGGGCCCTGGAAAGGCAAAGCACAATCGCGAATCATCAGAAACCAACGCCAGCGAGCCATTCGGCGCGCGCGGCCGCCAGGCGTCTTTGGGCGGGCCCTGGAAAAGGCGAAACACAATCGCAAATAATCAGAAACCAGCGCCAACGAACCAGGGGTGGCGCGGCCGCCAGGCGTCTTTGGGCGGGCTCCCGAAAGGCGAAGCACAATCGCAAATATTACGCGGGCCAAAGGTCGGCGCCGCCGCCTGGCGTCCTGCGCGCGCCCCTGCGCGGCCAATCGCAATCGCAAATAAGCAAAAACCGACGCGGTCCAGAGGTCGGCGCCGCCGCCTGGCGTCTTGGGGCGCGCCCTGGCTCAGCCAATCGCGACCGCACATAGGCAAAAACCAACGCGGGCCGGAGGTCGGCGCCACTTGGGCGAGCCAGAGGTCGGCGTCTCCGTTGTGCGTCCGCGCGCCCTGCGCCGCCACGCGCAATGGCGCGCGAGCAAAAACCAACGGACGCGCCGCGCATTGAGAGCGCCGGCCGGCTAAGAAACTGCCCCGGAATTTAGCCCCTACTTTCTTATTTTTTCCGCTTCCCAGCTCAGCCCCAAATTTTCTTATTGCATGGTTTTCCTAATATTGACCGGGGGTGTAGGTGGGTCCCTCGAGGCTGACTTGGGCGACTGTCGCTGAGGTGGCTGGCCCGATGGCACCTCAACTCCAAATGCGCCTAGCTTCTCAGTAAGTGACTGCAAGGCCGACTTGATATGTGAAACCTGAGCCTGCAACTGCGACATCTGACCGTGCCCCTTCGTCGCCTTGGCCGCAGACGGCCTTCCTTTCTTGGCTCCGCCCGCAAGCGGGCCCTCGTCCGCGCGGTCGCCATCCCCCAAAGGACCCGTCTCCAAGAGTACAACCTCACCCCAATATATCTGACTCATACTTTTGATACCATCTGCTTCTAGCAAGGGGCCAGACCCGACGACCCCGAGGACGCGGTGGCCCAGGAGGGCGGTGCCGGAGTGTTCTTCGCTCGAGCGGAGCAGCCGCGCGCGCGCACGCGTGGGTCCGAGATGGTTTCATAGATACTTGCGCTGGGAACAGCACGGAGGATAGCGCCAGGGGGAGTGCGCAGGATGACACATGCTTTCCGAACATCCAACACGCCGTGCGCCCCTGCAGCAAGCCACAGGGGGCGGCGGAGCGAAGACGCCCACGGCGAAGCACCGCCGCACCAGCCTTGTTGGAAGAGTCTATGTGGCCGAAGGCTGTGGCCAGAGCGCGGCCAAGCTGTCGGACTATGTGTTCCCCCCAGCCGGTGTGGAAACCCTTCAGGGAACATGTGGGAGAGAAAAAAGACGAGGAGGAGCACTCCCAGGGTCTCCCGGGGGCGTCCTGAAGGCCTCTGGGAGACCTTTCGGGGACATCCCTGGGCTTTTGGGCCTTTAGAGGCTTCTTGGGGGCTTCTTTGCTTGTCTTAGGGCGTTCCCCGCCCGTCTGACGCCGTTGGAAGCCGTCTTGGAGACCACTCTGGTCCATCTTGAGGCAGTCTTGGGGCGCTTCAGGGCCGTTTTGGAGGCCATATTGGTCTTTTTGAAGGCACCTTGTTTTGGGCCCTCTGAGGGGCCATCTTGGAGACCTTGGGCGCTCTGGGGGGCGATCTTGGGGGTCTCTGGGGCCCCTCTTGGGGACTCTTGGGCCGATTTGGGGCGATCCCGGGCGCCTTCGTGGGCCGTCTAGGCCGTCCTGAAAACCAAAACGTAGGTAATGCTAAAACCTTAAAGTGGACATTCATGTCCCGACCACCGCGCCCTTGGCCTCTGTATCAGTCACGCGAGCAACCCAGGAGCGCCTGAGAGCGCCCAGAACTTTGGGCTGTGGGCCCGCTAACCATGTGCAATCTCTAAGAGAGAGCTCGAAGGGACCTGGGGACACTCCAACTCGTGCCTCAGGGCACGGTGGCGGATAGGTAGTAGTTGCGTATAGATATGTAGGTCGTCGTCTGGACGTTTCTGCTGTCTCAGAAGCCTGGCGGCTACGTGCCAGGCGCCAGCCTCAGGGTTTGCTCTGCTGCCAAGGGTGTCCACCGTTCGATCGGTCTGGCCCAGTCTGCTGTTGCGTCGTTGCTGCGCATCCCTCTCGGCTGTTCCAGTTTCGGTCGCTTTCGGTTCCGCTGTCGGCTCGGGCCGTCGCAGATTGACGGCCTTGCTCTTCCCTCTCATCCGACGTTGGCGTCGGCCCCCTGGGCTTCGACCGCTTCCTCAGGGCCGGGCTTTCATCCCGAGTCAGTATTGGGGGGCCCCAGTGACGGAGACTGGCGCCTCCAAGGGCCGAATACCGACGAAGAGCCAGCCGCCACGATCTCGTTGCCTCGCCCTCGACGGTTCTCAGCCCAGAGGCGCCTCCCCCGTCAGCATTCGGCCGTAGCGGCCGCCTCGCGCGACTCGCGCGCGGGCGCCCTCCGCGCGTGCCTGCGGTGGCCGCGATGCAGCGGGCGACGGGCGCCGCTGGAGCACCCGAGGGGGGCCCGCTGCTTGAGCGCCACAGGCGGCCTCGCACCGGCTTGGGGCGGAGGACGCAGGGGCCTCCCCGCGGTCGTCAACGCCGGCGGCAGCGTCTTTCTCGTCCGTCGTCCGTTGTCCCGTCGTCGTCGTCGTCGTCGTCGTCGTCGTCGTTGTTGTCGTCGGCGGCGGCGTTATCGGCGTCGGCGTCGGCGTCGCCGTCGCCGTCGTCGTCGTCGGCGTTGGCGTCGGCGTCGGCGTCGGCGTCGGCGTCGGCGTCGGCGTCGGCGTCGGCGTCGGCGTCGGCGTCCGTCGTCGATGTCCGTGGTCTGTGTTCCGTTGCCCGCTGTCCGTTCGCCGTCATCATCCTTCACTGGCGTTGCCGTCGCCGTCTCTGTCTGTCGTTGGTCGTCGGTGTCGGCATCTAAGCCTTTGTCCTTCTTCGTCCATCCCTTCCTCCTCCATCTCCCCGCCACCCTCATCAACCCTCCGTCCTCCATCCTCCAGCCTCGCTCCTCCATTTGCCATTATCCATCATCCCTCCTCCCTCCTCTCTGCTCTATCCTCCGCCCAGCCCAAGCTCAGAGTCCAAACTCCTACAGGAATGAGAAATTCTAGACGCTTCGAGCAACCCCAACAGCCCATCCAGAAACGAGGCCCAGACGAGTTGCCTTGATAAGGGATGTGAAGGAGCATGCAGTGGAGTAAAGGACTAGGTAAGACATCATAAGGGGGAGAATGAAGGAGGAATCGCCGTTGTCGTCGTCGCCGTAGGAGGAGGATGAGGAGGAGGGCGGAGGAGGATGAGGAAAAAAGGAGGAGGAGGAGGAGGAGGAGGAGGAGGACACCATCGTCCTGGCTCCCGCCGCGCTCGCAGCGCAAGTGCTCCCCGCGGCGCAAGTGGCGCTTGGGCGGATCGGCCTGGAGTTGGAGCCGAGGAAAACGCAGGCGTGGTCCGCCCGCTCGCCGTGCCTGGAAGGGCTGGAGCCTCACTGGCGCCTTGCAGGCCTAACGCTGGTAGGGGCACCGCTGCAGACGCCGCGGCCGTTCGACCTGCCCGCGGAGAACGACGGGCGCAGCTTCGCCTTGGGGACGCCCGGCTACGCGGAGGAACGCTGCAACGGCGTCGCGGCCCGGGCTGCGAACCTCCTGGACAAGATGGCCGACTTGCCCGCAGAAGCTTCGCCCCATGAAGACCCGACGCAGGCCGGGGCGCTCCTGCTGCGACACTGCGGGACAGGGAAAATCACGCACCTGCTGCCCGCTTCGCCGCTCGACTGCACCAGGGCCGCGGCTGCCGCCTACGACGAGGCGGTCTTGGAGGCTTACCAGCGCCTTCTCCGCTTAGACCCGCTGACGTCCTCCAACCGGGCGCAGTGCAGACTGCCGCTACAGGCGGGAGAGGGCTCCGGAGCCAAGAGGAGGTCGCCCCAGCGGCTTGGGTGGGCTCCTGGGCGCAGAACCTCGCGGAGGTTCGGGCGAGGGCGGGAGCCTCGGGGCTGGACGACCTGGACCAGAGCGCCCTCCCGCTGGCCGCTGCCTGCCGAGCCGCTAGCGCCGCCCTGAGGGCGCCGCCGCCAACGGGCGCGGCAACCGCGCCGCCGGAGCCGCCACCGGCCGCTCCGCCCGCGGCGCCAGCGGAGGCCGCGCTGCCGCCACCGCCACTGGCCGCCGCCGCGGCCGCCCCGGAGGGAGAGGCCGGGCACGCCCTGCCGCCCTGGCGCGACCTCGCCGCCGAACCTCGCAAGAAGCTACAGAAGCTGCTCACGCAACGGCTACACCAAGAAAACCTCGCAGCCTTGCTAAGCGCTTCCAGCCTCGAGGACCGAGCGAGCCTGCGCTCCTGCGGCGGCCCGCACGCGGCCGGCTGGCAGCTGGCCTCACCGGGGGCCGCGGGCCAGAGACTCGGCGACGCAGACTACTGCGCCACGGCGCGCGCGCTGCTGGGTCAGGACTGCGCGCCCCTCGGCGCCCGCTGCCAGAAACGCGCTCGCACGGGCCTGCGAGCCGGACAGCAGTGCGGGGAGCCTTTGTGCTCCAAAGCGCGCCACGCCTACCGGTGCGCATGCGGCGGCGGCGTAGTGGCGCGCAGCCGGGCTGTGGAAGGCGTTGGGGCGCATCCACAGGCAGTGCGGCTACCACACCGCGCGCCAACTCCCCGCCCCCGCATGGGACCGCTGGAAATGGCGCTGTGCGCGCTGCAAGGCACGGGGCACGACGCCCGACCCGCCCGCGGGGCCATGCAGCGGGTGCGGGGCGCCCCTGCAGAACGAGCGCGAGGAGGCCATGCTGGACCTCGAGGCGCAGGCGCCGGGATGCCCGCGCCAGTTCGCGGACATCACCGTCCGGTACGCCGTGCCTGGCGACGCCGAGCACCTCGCGGCAGCGGCGCAGAGGGACGGCGCCGTGAACGCAGAGGCAGAGGGCGACGAGCGGCGCCGCTACCCGGCCGGGCGCGCCGTGGCCCGCCCCGCCCCTGGCCCTCGAGACGGGGGGCCGGCGCGGCAGGGCCGCTCTGCGCCACCTGCGGAGGCTGGCGCGGAGCTTCGCCCAGGAGCTGGGGGAGGAAGAGGGCAGCTCCGCAGTCGCCAGCGCCCTGGTGCAGCGCTGGGGGGCCGAACTGTCCGTCGCGTTGCACGGGGCGACGGCGCGGCAGCTGCGCGCGGGCCTCGGCGGTGACCGGGCGGCCAGTGCGGCTGCCCTCCGCGAGGCGGCGGCGGGTTGAACCCAGGCGTGCTGCGGCGGCGGGCCGAGCCAGTGCCCAGGCGCAGCCGTGCGGCGGTGGCGAAGCTGTTCAACCTCATCGTCGCGCAGCCCGTGGTGCTCAGAGGGCGTGGCGCACTTGTGCTCTGACTCGCTCCATGGTCGCAGGAGGAGGAGGAGGAGGAGGAGGAGGAGGAGGAGGAGGAGGAGGAGGAGGAGGAGGAGGAGGAGGAGGAGGAGGAGGAGGGAGGAGGGAAGGAAGGGGAGGAGGGGGGAGGGGAGGCGGATGAGGCGGAGGAGGAGGAGGAGGAGGAGGAGGAGGAGGAGGAGGAGGAGGAGGAGGAGGAGGACGAGGACGAGGACGAGGACGAAGACGAGGACGAGGACGAGGACGAGGACGAGGACGAGGGCGAGCAGAAAGGCCAGAAGCCTCTCGGATGCCTCTCGGAGTCTCTGCGGATTTGGGAGTCCTCCTGGGGGGTCTCTTGGCAGTCCCGGGGCCTCTTGGGGCATCTTGGGTGCCTCTGCGGAGCTTCGTGAGGCCCTTGGAGGATCTCTTGGGGGCCTTTTGAGGGCATCTTGGGGCCCTCTTGGAGGCCTCCTGGGCACCACTTGGGGCCGTCTTGCGGCACCGGTGGGAGCCTCGGGGGCCATCTTGGGGCCATCTTGTGGGAGATCGATCATAGGAGGGGCCGTAGTACATTAAGGTGCACACCCTAGGAGGCCAATATTTGGTCAACACCTGAGGGCATGGGGAGGATCAGGATGCTGATGACGAGGAACGTGAGTAGCCACTTTGGCTCAAGCCGTCTCAGCGTCAGGCGCGGGGCTCCGGTTTCAGCCCCCTCTGGCGTTTTTCGTGCAGAGCTGACCTCCGCCGCGCCGCCTGGCGCGGCCAGGGCCGCGCCGACTGCCGGCGGCGGGCGCCGGCACGCACCCGCGGGGTGCCCTGGTTGGCGAGGCCCCGAGGGTTCTCGGGCCGCCCCTCGCGCACGGCGATGGGCGCCCGGCCGGACTTCACCCTGGAGGTTGGGCAGGGTGGCGGAGGACTCTGGCGCGGCCAACTGGGTACTGAAGTGCGACGACCAAGACGGCGACCCCGAGAGCAAAACGCCGACCGAGGAGTGCATCAACAAGATCACCATCTTCAAGGACTAGAAAATTTGCGACGATTGCAGGAGTATGATCAATGATCTTGGCCTTCTCGCCGAGGTCTCTTTGGGCGTCTTGGGTGCGTTTTGGGGGGCCTCTGGGGGGCCTCTTGGGGGTCTCTTGGGAGCCTCTTGGGGGATCTTGGGGGCCTTCGGGGGGCCTCTTGGGAGCCTCTTGGGCACCTCTTGGGGGCGTCTTGGGGTGCCCTTGGGAGCCTCGGGGGCCATCGACGGACCATTTTGGAGGAGATCGATCAAAGGAGGCGGGCTTCTGAAGGAGGTTCCTTCCAAGAGGCTAAACTGCGGCCAAAGCCTACGCAAGATCAATGGCTTAAACCTTCTCGCCGAGGCCTCTTAGGGTCTGAGTGCCTCTGGGAGCCTCTTGGGGCTTCCTGGGAGCCTCTTGGAGGCATCCTGGGGGCCTCTTGGGGCACCTTTTGTGAGGCTCGGCGGCCATTTTGGGGTAGAGGATGTCGATCAAAGGAGGGGCCGTACTAACGTAGCACACCACCAGGAGGCCAACATGCGGCCAAAACCTTCGACAAATCAGTAATGTTGGCTTCCTCGCAGAGGGAGGGGGTATGGGGGAGGGGCCACGGCATGTTCCCAGCCCGCAAGCCGTCTCGCTCACTCCCACCCGTCCTCCCAGCACAAATAGCACCAGGGCCGCAGCATGTTCAGCGGTCGTCTTTGGATGGGCAGCTAATGGGAACCGACACAGATCCCATGTGCGCAACGCGGGGGCGAGGTGCGCCACGCATGCCACGCGCGCCAGGTGCGCCAGGCACCCATGTGGCCCAAGCGTGCCAGGCACGCCTGGTGCGCCAGATGCGCCACGTGATTCACGTGCGCCATGTGTGACGCATGCTCCAGCCGCGCCAGGTGCGCCACGCTCCACACGCTTAGTGTGCCAGGTGCGCATGCGCACGTGGCGACACATCGGGAAACGTGTCGGCCCCCACCACCTTGGTCGAGACATGTCGAAACCGAGTGCGCAATCGTGGCGGGGTGGCCATTATAGTGTTTAGTGGGCCTGCACACAGCAAACAATATGCCAGCATCACCGCCGTCCAAGTCAAAAACCAATGCGCAGTGATCCCAGGTTGCCTGCGCATGATTTAGATTTTGCCTAGAAGTGCACCGAATACTGTTGTTGGTCAGGTGTGCTGGCTCTGCGCGCAACAGGCAATCT